TCACAAACAAAATTTCAGTAAATTTCAATAGATATAGATCATGCAAAAACTCTCAGGTCACAATGTAATACAACCAGAAATAACAAAATCAGATTCCAAAAAGTCCTTACACCAAGAAATGCTCTAGTATTCTTAAATGTCAAGTCAATGGTAACATACAAGCCAAAACTGTAGAACAGCTAGAGAAATATGATAATGAAACTATTACCCATCAGAACCTATAGATAGATCTAAGATAATTATTAGAGGAAAGCAGATAGCCCTAAGTACATATATTCATTTGAAAAAATAAGTAAAAAATATAAAAGATATATTAAGCATCTGATTAAAAAAAAATCAGGTATATAAACCAAAGTAGTATTGAAGGAAGGAAATTCTAAAGCTAAAAATAGACAATAATAAGTCCAAAAACAAAAGAATAAATAAAACAATCAAAAACTAATTTTTTTAAAAAACTAAATCACTATTCTAATTAAAGTAAAAGATACAAGTATGCAAATTAAGAAAAATGAAAAGCCACAGAAACAAGATAAAACAAAATAAATCCTGAGAACCAACTCTTCAATCCTGTGCAAGTATCTCAAAATCTAGATTGATTGAATAATTTTCTAGGAATATCTGATTTCCCAAAACTGACTCCAGAAGACACAGAAAATTGAAATAGAATGATTTGCACAGGTAAACTAAAGTTAATAAAGTTATCACTTTCCCCACAAAAGTACCAAGTCCAAGTGGTTTTACAGGGAAATTTTACCAAGCACCAAGAGACTAGATATTCAGTAGTATTCTGTTAAATGTTTAACAACTGGATCTTGGGAAGGGGTGGGAAAGGGAAGAAGAAAGTCCTGATTGTTAGAAGTGGTTTTTTTTGAGTTGGAGTCTCACTCCGTGGCCCAGGCTAGAGTGCAGTGGCACGCTCATGGCCTCCCCAGTGTCGACTTGCTGGGCTCCAGCCATCCTTCCGCCTCAGCCTTCAAATAGCCAGAACTACAGGCACATGCTACCACATCTGGCTAATTATTTTTTATTTTTTATTTTTTATTGTAGAGACAGGGTCCTGCCAAGTTGCCCGAGTTGTTCTCAAACCTGCGGGCTCAGCCAATCCTTTCACCTTGGCCTCCCCAAGTGCTGGGATTACAGTCTGAGCCTAAGTCCGACCTTTTTTAAATTTAATTTTATGTTTTTAGCAAAAATACTTCCATCACGACTGATTCTAAGCTACCTATGTGACACCACTTAAAGTAGAGAAGGGAATACGAATAGGCCTTCTGAGTCAGTGCAAGCTAACCCTTGACTACTATGGAGCAGATCTCAATGCTATTTAAATTGACCCAGAACACAGATAAAGAAGTACATTCATTTTTTTTAATGAAGTACATAAGACCTCTATAGAAAAATTGATAAGGATTACAGAGAAAATAACTACATACTTATCTCAATTATAATTATAAGTACAACAATCCTTATTCAAATAAGTATAAACAGAGTCCAGGAGCACAAACAGCAGAGTAACATATTGTGACCAAGTATGATTTATTCCAGGTATGCAATGAAATTGTACTGTTGGGATACCCATTTATTTATTTATCCTTTTTAGTAGATCTAAGAATTAAGACCATAATTCCATAGTTGCTAAATCCTTTGACCAAAATTTCAATAACCATTCTTGATAAATGGATGTATATTTTCTTAATATGATAAGACATGTCTAGCTCAGTCCAAAAGCTAACATCAAACATAAAGATATTCCTGTGCAAGTAAGGACAAAACAAGATATCTGTTACTTCTACTGTTATCTAATTACCGCTATTACTTAATAATACTATTCTAATATTTACTATATTTACTAGAAATACTAGCAAATGCACATAGCAGAAAAAGATTACAGGCATGAAATGGAAAGCATATGACAAAACTCTTATGTTTACAGATTATTTAAATTGACACTTGGGAACTCAAGAGAACCAACTATAAAATTAACAAAATAATTCAGTGAGAAAGTAAGATATAAAGTCAATATGCAAAAATCACTAGTCTTTTTATATTAAAGTAAAAGCCTATTAGAAAGTATTTTGGATGAAAGACCCCCATTTAAAAAATCAACATAAAAGATAATATATTGGGAATACTATCATAAAAAATTTGCAAAAATATATGATATCTTCATGAAAAAAACTTAAAAAACTTCTAGAAGGAAACACACAAGAAAACTTGGCAATATGAACAGTCATACTATTTTCTTTTATAGGAAAACTCAAGATCATAAATATCTCAGTGACCTCTTTGTAATTTATAAATTCACTATGAAATCACATAACAAAGTTTTTTTTGTCCTTTTAATTCAAAAACTGAATCTAAAGTTCATGGGGAAAATAAGCAAAAATAATAGATGAAATTCTTCTGAAAAAGAATTATCATGAGAAAAAATAGAGCTTACTGGATATCAAGTATATTATACAGCTTCAATAATTAAAACAATGTGGTACTGGCACAAAAACACCAGACTATTGGAATAGAATAGGAAGTCAGAACTAGACTCAATTACATGTGGGAATTTCATATATGATAAAGTAAAATTGTACTTAAACAGGTATGGAAAAATGGATTATATTCAAGATGTATGTATTTTGGGGGGAAATGGGTAGGTAGGTATTTGGAAAAAAATGTGGATACGTACCCTACACTTTACAGCAGGATAGATTGCAAATTGATTAAAATTTTAAATGGAAAAGAAAAACCATAAAAGTGCTAAGAAAGCATGAGATAACTTATAATTCAGAAGTCCTGATATTAAAAAAATTGACAAATTTGACTTTATTAGAAATATTCTTAACTTTATTTTAAAAAATAAAAACTTTTACCCAGAAAAATAAAACATTTTGCTAAGTCAACAGATGAACAGTGAACTTTAAAATTTAGAAATTATATTACAATGAACTAGGCATAGGAGGATACCAGGATAGGAAAGAGACTGTTCACTATAAATGTGAATATATAATATCCCCAATATATTATCTTTTATGCTGATTTTTTAAATGGGGGTCTTTCAATTACATATATTTCTAATATATGAAGAGTTCCTAGAAGTCTATAATACAGTGATTAATAACCCAGAATAAAAATAGATCAGAAATTGCACTCCTAGAAACACTTTCTTGTGTGCAAATACACACACACACACACACACACACACACACACACACACACATATGCAATAATATTTCTTGTAGAGTACATGTACACTAGCTAAATCCTGAAAGTTTTTATCAGTAGTAATACATGAGTCAAAGTTTAGAATATTTAAATTTTTTTTTTTTTTTTTTTTTTTTTTTTTTGAGTTGGAGTCTCACTCTGTCACCCAGTCTGGAATATAGTGGCATGTTCACAGCAACTGCAGCCTCGATGAGCTGGGCTCAGGTGATCCTTCCACCTCAGTCTTCCAAGTAGATGGAACCACAGGCGTGCACTACCACACTTGGTTAATTTTTTTGATTCATTGTAGAGATGATGTCTTGCTAAGTTGCCCAGGCTGGTCTCAGACCCCTGGGCTCAGGCAACCTTTTGCCTCAGCCTTCCAAAGTACTGGAATTGCCTGGCCCATATTTTAATATTAATTAATTATTTGTAAATTGAAAAATGGTTAAATTATGGTGCATCCAATCTCTGGGATATTGTATATCTCTGTCAAAAGAGGGAAGAAGTTCTCTACATACTTATTTGAGAGTCTATACTGTATGGATTGTTAAGGGAATAAACAAAGTATAGAACAGTATGATAGTGTATTGCTACTTATGCATAAAATGTGGAATGATAAGAATCTATATTTATGAAAACAACCCTGAAAGATGCTTGATAGTGGTGACTGTCTATGGATGGGGAGAACTAGGCATAGGAGGATACCAGGATAGGAAAGAGACTGTTCACTATAAATGTGAATTTACTTTAAAACTTTGGGCCATGTTCAAAAACAAACGAATTGAATTTTAAAAGACTGAAATAAAATTCACATGGCCAATAACGTATCAATTACACTTGTCCAAAGGAAGGACATGGAACAATATTCTTTGTAGTATTTTTCTAGTAAAAAAATACAGAAATAAGCCGGGCTCGGTGGCTCAGCCTGTAATCCCGCGCCTTGAGAGGCTGAGGTGAGTGAATTGCCTGAGCCTGCAGGGCAACTTGGTGAGACCTCATCTCTACAACAAATCAAAAAAAAAATTAGCCAGGTGTGGTAGCATGTGCCTGTAGTTCCAGCTACTTGGAAGGCTGAGGTGGAAGGATCGCTGGTGCCCAGCAGGTCAAGGCTGCAGTGGCCGGGAGTGGCCACTGCACTCTAGTCTGGGCAACAGAGTGAGACTCCAACTCAAAAAAAAAAAGAAAAAAGAAAAAATACAGAAATATATATGTCTATTAGGAATACAGAAATATATATGTCTATTAGGAAAGAAATGATTGAAGTATGGTAAGTTTATGACACTGAACGCTATGCAGTAGTTTATTTTATTTTTTTAAAGGTTAAGGTAAAGAAGATATTAACACAGAAAGATCTCCAAGACATATTTTTAAGCAAAAAAAAATTTAATAGCAAAAGATTTATATACTGTAACAGAATTTATGTATGTAAGAATACAATGCTACATATACACATTTATGTGTTTGAAAGTACAGAATTATACACAAATGCACATACAAGTCTATAAACATGCAAAAATTGTTCTGAAAGGATAGACAAAACCCTAACAACAGTTGCTTTGGAGAAAGACCTGGATTGGAGTGGGAAAGAGTAGAATAGGGAGAAAAAGGACTTCAGATTTTTCTTAGTATTAGAATTATTTTTTAAATATGCTAATATTTGACTCACACACTATACTACTAAAATTTTCAAGAAGGTGATAGCTTTAGGTGATTTATCATTGTTTTGGAGGCTTTGCAAATTTGCTTCCCGAAGGCCAAGTGATAAAGAAATTGTTTCTGTGAAAGCATCCCTTTTCTTTTTCAAGTTTAAATATTCCAATGTTGAGAAACCACAGTATATTATCTATATTCTGTCACTGTTGAGGAATGGGGTGACATGAATCAAACATTCTGGTAAATAAAGAAATACAGAGAAAAATGTAGAGATACATGCGTATATAGAATGGCTTCTGATTTACTGAGAATGGCGAGGAAGACATCAGCATTAATAATAGCTCCTATTTATTGAGTGAATTCTTTAGAGTCAGGCACCATGCTGTTATCTTACACGTGTTTGTGATCTCATTTAATCCTGAAAACATCTTGTAAAGGTAGATGTTATCCCCATTTTATATATGAGGAAATTGAAGCTTAGAAAGATATTCTGTGGTTTACCCAAGGTCCCAGTACTAATAAGTGTCTTTTTTGAGATTCAAAACCACGTCTCTAACACTGAAGCCTGTGTTGTTTCCTCTGTTCCCTACTGTCTCTCTAATGAAATATACTTAACAATATAGCTACACTGAATGTATTTTAATCTGTTTCTTGATTATTCAGGAAAGCACTTCTGGCTTTTGCAGTGTTTTAAAAATCCTGTTATGAGCATCAATTATCAAAGTACTAGTGGAGCATGGAAATGATGGTTAATTGGAGATATCCAGTTGAAAGAAAGCTACTGAGTAATAGTGCATTGACAGAATTTAGTGCTTTTCTTACAGATAAATAAAGGTATAACAAAATCATTGGTGTGGTTTTTGTATAGTGCTTTTATTCATTGATCTGCATATTCTGAAGTCCTTTATCTCCATATACTGATTCTAAATCAGTCCTTTTATGGTAATACCTTGTATCTCTATTTGTAGTACTAAAAATATTGCTTAGATACACAATGTAGTTCTCCCCCCCCACACACACACTGGAATCTCTTAGTGAAGGGTCTTATCTCTGTAACCTAAATTCGCATGAGCAGAATTTAGGTATACTACACTGATGGCTTCATAGACGACCCCTTTGGTTATAGATTATAAATGCCATTTAGAGAAAGCACAAGATGGCTCCTGAGTGTCTAGTAAACTTCAACAACCACCTGAGAGATACCTCCGTGTGACTGCATAAAATGGAAATAAAGAATGGCAAATAACCCATTGACTATGCACTTTCTCACCCGCTGAGAGCAAAACGCAATCCAATGCAATTTTAGTACTTACATGCCTCTGGGGAAAATAGACCCCTAAAAATCATGGAGTGCAGCACTGGAAAAATTCCTTAAATTTGTGCTATGCTTGATGTTATAAAACCCAAACAACCTTAGACGTTCTCTTTGAGTAAAATGGATTGATAATTTTGTTTTGTTATATTATCCACCAAGCATAATGATAATGGGTCACATGCAATTTAGGAAAAAATTAAGTCTAATAAGAAAAACCTCTAATAAATACTAACAGCATCTTATTGGTATTATCGTTGGTCTAACCCTTTTATTAACTTTTTTTACATATTAAATGATCTGTAATATGTTGAAAATGAAGAGGACAGTAAAAATTAAAACAGGCATACTAATAATATATGCATTATACAAATGTTTGCATGCTTCTTTCCTCGGGCAAGTACTAGGATGCATGGTACATATAGGGAGTGGTGCTGGATATAGCAGGAGACTTCTGCTTTTAGAGATGCTGAACAGTAAAGATGCTCAGTGTAGGGAATAGATCCCATCATTAACTAGGATTGCAACCAATTCAATGAAAAACACATTTTGAAAATCAGAACACAGTCCTGAGAAAAGTATACGCTTATCCCCTCAAATCAGGCTACTTCTGGGCCACAGGAGGAGGAGGGTGAACAAGCTTAAGGAAGTTCTGATACCTAATAAAAGTATTGGGGGGAATCCTGTGCAGTGTTAGCTATCCGTCAGGGACAATGTGCTAGGATGGGATAGAGCTAGAAGGATGTATTCAGGAAGCTGCCATTATTAGAGGTGTGCTTCTCAAGAATTTCCTAGAGAACACTCATATAGGAAAAGAGCTTAAGCTCCTGTTTCTAGGGATTCTGATTTGGTGGTCCTTAGGTGACACTCTGGCATCTGTTATTTTTAATGAGCTCTTATAGTGACTCCTCTGCACACAAAAATTTGAAGACCACTGCATTAAATGGTATTGACAAGAGATCTATTTTTCCTGGTCCTCTTGGCCATGAGATTTAGGAGAAGTGATTATTTCTAAACATTATTGAATAGTGGCAGCCACAAATGCTTTGCCATGTCAGTCTCTCAATGGCTTCTAAGAGGGATTGAACAGCCTTGTGGAGGCTAAATTATTATTTAATATTTGTTATGCAAGCCATTGTTCTTTGTACAGAAATGGCAAAGGTCCCTGTTTCAAGTAACTTATAATTTAGGGGAAGCTAGCAGATAGAAACTCAAACTAATAAATGCAACAAAGTGTTACAAGTGCTGTGAAAAAGCATTTGTATGGGAAAATGGGGACAAATGGGTTTGGTCATTAGGTGAAGGGATGCCTAAGTCAATGTAAGGCTTGAACAAAAGGGGGCAATAGATTTAGAGAAGAGGACTTACAGGAGTGGCGTTGAGGAATGTTGGGTAGTACGACAGATTTGGTTGCAAATAGTGAATGGGGGAAAAGAGCATGAGATAACTGGTTTTTGGCCTGAGCGCCTCTGTGGAAGGTGGAACTATTTTATGAAGAATGGCATTTGGGAAGAGCAGATGTAAAGAGAAATGTTGAGTGTGGAATATCTGTGTCCGTAAATGGAGATATTCTAGGTCATGGGTCAGCAAATTTTTACTGTAAAGGGCCTATAGTAAGCATTTTAGACATTGTAGATCAGTCAGTCTTTGTGGTAACTACTCAACTCTGCCATTGTAGTAGGAAAGTATTCATAGGCAATATATAAGTAAATAGGCATAGATGTTTTCCAATAAAACTTTATTTAGAAAAATCGGTGGTAGGCCAGATTTGGCCCATGGGACCTCAGTTGTTACTCTTGCTGTATGTGTAGTTATGGATAGCAGATATAAATCTAAATACAGATATGTTGACTCCTATATATCCATGTACCTGCATCTTTCTATGTAAACAGAATCATACCTACTCTATATAAACACTGAATTTCATGACTGTTTTGAATAATGAATAAAGAACTAGCCAAACTCAATTAGACAATTATTGACAAACAAATATGGAAATGTTTATTATTAAAATAACAAAATACATTTTGTACTCACTGGTTTAGCAAAATTTAAAAATCTGCTGATACCAAGTGCTGACAAGGTTGTAGAGCAACAAAAATTCAAAAGCGGTTTTGGTGGGTGTGTGAATTAATATATCTATATCGGAAGACCATTGGTTATCTTCTAGTGAATTTAAATAATAAGCCAACCCCAGGATCTAGAAATTCTAGTCCTAAGACTGTAACCCAAGAAAAACTACTGCACATGCTCAGGTCAATATAAACTACATTCACAGCATTTTTATAATAGCAAAACAAAACAAAAGACAATCAAAATAAAAATTGGAGACAACCCAAATGATTCATTAAATGAAGTGGAATAACGCTCAGCATGGATAAATCTGCAAAATTGGGAGAAAAAGTAAGTCACTGAATGATACTATATGATATCATTTATGTGAAGTTTGAAAAAGTAAAATAAAACTATTCTTAAAGGGTCCTTACATTTGTGGCAAAACTATGACAAAAACCATGGGAAAGAAAAACCCAGAATGCAGGTAGGTGGAGGCAAAAACGTCTGATCTGACAGGAACAACCAAAGGGTATTGTGTATCTAAGCTTGGTAATGGGTATACAGATATTTTAAAATTAATGTTTTCAGTATTTTGCCTATGTTGTATCTATTCTTCATAAAAAAGAAATCTTTGCATGATAATAAAAGCAAGACAAAATCAAAATCTCACTGCCTTACCAATTTTATATTTTTTTCAAGAAATAAGTAACTCAAGGTTATGCCTTTTTTTTTTTTTTTTAAAGTAATGCTCATTTTGGGAACTTTTTGTCTGACTCAGTTTCTTTCCAGTTATGTCACCTCTCCAGGTGACTGAGGACCAGCTGGCTTCCTCTGTTTTGTCTGGGCAGACAGCAGTGGGAACTAGGAATAGCACAGAGAAGAAGTAACAGAATGTCATAAAGGGACTGACATGGCTGGTGTAGGGTCACTTGAGTTTCCCATCTTAAGCAGAACAAGCATCGTCTTTGGCATAGGGCAGTATGTGGTCAAAATCCTCCATGTCACTCAGAAAGTAATTCCATTGCTGTCTGTTTATTATCCCAGTCATCTGGGGTTGCAGGGACACTGTGTAGTGGTTTTGTGGTGTGGAAGCTATTGCTACATAATTTTTTATTTCTTGAATATCACTTTGTAGTGTCATGATTATAAGACTTGGAAGAAGATAAACTCTCTGTCCATTCCGAGTATAAATGGGCACTTGAGATGAAACCACCTCGTTAATTTCCCGTTGTTGCTGGAGTAGAATCTGAATCCAAGCCACAACACAACCTAGCCCCTAAATCTCTATTAAAAACCACCTTGGGTAGTCTGGTAAAGCTTTATTTAAAGTCAGCAGAGAATTATAAAGTCAAAAGTGAAAAATGGTACAACAAGAAAGAATCATAAAAAAATACTAGATCAGTTAAATGTAGTCAAAGGCAATTTAGTGTGTTCTGGCACCAGCACTTATTGATGCAAAGAATGTGATGTGTCAGGGGTTGGCAAGAACATGGAGGAAATGCAGAATGAAGGATGCAGCTCCTTGTGTTGGTTCCGGGCCAGCTACGGCCATGGAGGACGGTTGAACTTTTTGAACCAGGAATTTCAGGGAGAATATGCTAATTCCCCCAGTCTGGTCATCTTTTGTTCTTTTGCTTTCCTTTATGTAGCATATTTTTAAAAGTGGAATTATTTATTTTGTGGAGATAAGCTAACATAAAGGCTGCATAAATCGGGACAGGCCAGGAGGGTAGGTAACCTTTGCTGGTATTTTTAGTATCCTAGCATTCCAGTTTCTCTGGGGTTGCCCCATTGATCTGTCTGTTCATATTCATCTTCCAAGCTGTGGCTGTTTCTACCTCATCTTTTTTCAACCCTTTATTATCCCATTTGCTGGTATTATTGAATTTGACCAGTAATAAATAC